TACTTTATAAATAAATATATGTACATAGCTCTATTCCCCTGCCACTGTATAAAAATGTGTTTACATATATACATGCCTGAATTTAGACCTCTGTAAATGTCCTGTGACTCTGAGTTCTTTCCTCTATTTCCTTTTACTGACCTCCCATCCTACTAGCATGTTCAGCCTTCATTCAGGTTTTGGAAATTCCTCTTGGCTACACTGCCCTTCATTGAGCCCGCCCAAGCATCCTATGCCCTCCTCACCATCAATTTTAGATCACTTATTCTTCCCTTGTCTCACTCCAGGGAGCTTCTAAAGGAGCCCAGGGACGATATTAGTTAGGCCCTGGGGCTGCTAACCACTGCGTCAGCAGTTCCAACCGACCAGATGTTCCCATAAAGATTCGGAGCCTTGAAAAGCCTATGATGGGTCACTGTGCTTTGGAACTGACTCCATGGTAATGGGGTTCCATTTTTCAAAATCCTTAAGAAAAGAGCAGCTGATTGGTTCAAACCACCTTTCAAGAGGTAGCACCAAGTCCACTGGGAGGGCAATGCTCTGTGAGCTCCAGCAGCAGGGACCTGAGAATTCACATTCTTTGCCCCTGGGCTTACCATGCTCCCTCCAGGCAGCGCATTATAATCACACATCACATGTCTTCTGACATATCCATGCCTACTCTCACCCCTTGATCAACTAAATAAAACTCTATACAGGTGGGACTTCATTTGATAAAGGGCATCAGTTTTGAATAGGTCACTGGAGTTCAGAATAATAGGTCAAGGAGACTCCCCACTGCTACATGTGGGTCTTAGAATTTGCCACAAAATCTCTCTTCTGGAAACTTGAAGAAAACTTTGCCCTTAAATATTCCCATTATTATGAGAGTTGTTTTAAGTGATCCGGGTTCCCTAAAGAGCTCTCATCTGCTCTGCTCTGCTCTTTTGGTGTTCTGATAGGTCGTTTTCTTTTCCCAAAGTGTTATTTCCCATGTAGCTCCCCGTGATACGTCCTGCGCAGTTTTTATCTTGTTTTGCACTTCTCTCTGTTCTCAGTGAGCAGCCTTTAATTGGGTGGTGGCTGCAGTTGGAAGCCCTCTTCTCCTGACTCCGTGATCCGTGAATATGTTTCCTTTCTGGCAAACAGATGGGGAGATTGAAACGCATAGCCTGTCTTCTGAATTAGCTGCTTGTGTGGGGATTATATAATAAATACTACAAAAGGAGGACTCTCCCTCAAAAGATGTTACTGACATCATGTGCAGACAAAAGAAGTCACAAGCAGCGCACTGTGCTTTGTCCCAGGACAAAGCAGTTGCGTGTCTTGGTGCCAGGTTTTAATGCCTGACTCAAAAAGAGTCTTAAGTTCACCCGAGGAAAACCATCATCGTTCACTTGTCTATTCTGCAGGGAGTACTGCAGTTTTTTCCTTTTTCTTTTAAACAATAGTGCTTAAAATATATCTTTGAGAAGCCAGGTGACTTATTAGCAAACGCAGGTGTCGCTAGCAAACATTATCAAGCCCATCTCTAGCCCATTTCAGGCATACAGCAAGCTTCCTCTTATAACAAGGTATATGACTATAAATAAGGTGTGCATTTCTAAGACCATTTTCAATGGAAAGTTGTTGTTCTCTTTTTGTGGAAACTTTGAGGTCTTGACTCCAGGTGCCTTGGAAGCCTTGGAGACGTCAACAGGCTCCTGGGCTTCTTTCCCTGGCGGCTATACCGCCCTGCCTCCCAGCGTAGCCATTTCTTGAACTGAGTTCTCTAATTAATTTGTTTCCCTCTGTGTCTTCTACTGCGGCATGTGGCCTCTGACTGATCCCCGTGCTTTTCTTCTCTTACTCAAGTCCTTTGCCAAGGGGTGGGAACTTGCGTGCCTGTCACCTCACCACACCGAAAGAGCCCCTCACAATAATCGCTTGTGTGATTCTTGGGCTTTTCCTGGTCCACCTGGTTTCCAGAGGTTGATTACAGGGAAGCTGTCTTGAGGTCTAAATAATGAAGCCTAGAAGATCCTGGAAAGTAAATGTTGACACAAATATTACACGTTCTGCCTGCCCTTTTAACTTGACTTTCAAATACTATCTAAATAGACTTGTATTGGGCGGCAAATGTCTGTGGGTTATGCAAATTACAGTGTAGTGGCTTCACGTTGGGCTGCTAACTGCAAGGTTGGCAGTTTGCAGCCACCAGTCGCTCTGCTGGGAAAAGATGTGGCTTTCTACTCCCGTGAAGAGTTGCAGTCTCAGAAGCCCGCAAGGTGGTTCCACCCGGCCCTCTAGCGCTGCCCTGGGTCAGCATGAACTCGATGGTAGTGAGTCGGTTTGCTCTGTTCTGTTTGTCGGTGTGGAAGTTAGGGTTAGGAGAGTGGATTTCATTTCGGTTCATCTTGTTCAAGGCATGATTCAGAGGGGAAGTGGAAATAGCTAATGCGATGTACACCAAAAGATGTGTCATTATCGCAAGAGAAAGCTTTCTTTCAGGTTAATTGACATTTATTTCACTTGGTTGTGTATCTCTGAATCACCTCTCTTCTTCAGTGGAGAGAAAGAAGTCAGCTGTGAAACCTGTTAGGTAGGGAAAGATACACCCTCAGGGGCAGGTGGTAGTGAGGTTCTGGGAGCAGGTGGCTGGTCTACTTTGAGTGCCTGTTCTGGGTCCACTTAAACCATTTCTCTGACCTTGTCTGCCCACCTGCTTCTCCTCGGGTTCTGACCCTTCACTTGGCACTTGACTTCGATTCTCATCTGCATCCTTTGTTTTTCTTTGATGCTTATCCTCCTGCGCTTGTCCTGTGACCTGGCCTTGGGTAATGCCTCCCTTGTCTGCTCACAAGTATAACTCTATTTCAGACATTTTGGGTGCCTTGACTCTCCATTATGTCTTTCAAATAGTGCTCAAAATCTTGCGATCCTCCCAACCGAAGTGCTGTGCCTGCATTGCCCTTCCAAGACTGCTGAAAATGCCCTTCCTGTGAGGAGAACTGCCCAACAGGTGCAGACATGATGAAGTAGCCCCGGTGCACTGTTTCCCTTCAGATATATTTTGAGTATAAAAAAGGATAATAAGATAAATTAATCTTCTTTTTGAGAGTTTTTCTTCATAACTCACAGCTATTCTCTCGTAATTATGCTTCCCATTTCTCTTGAGGACCAAGAAATGAAAAACTGTCTTTGGATTTTATTAACTGAATTTATGTTAAACAAAAATGGTTTTATATCGTTACCTTGTTATATTTCAGGATTCGCTATAGATTAAAAATTTTAAATCATCAAAACTCAGGACCATGTATTAATCTAAGCAGCTCTTTTCTTTTCCTCCTGTGTGCATAACTAAGTGTAGCAGGACGTTGGTAGCAGAGTAAGGAATTTTTCCTACCCTGGCCAGTGTAACTGGGTCCTCCTCGAAGTCTTTGAGTGCACTGCTAGCAAGCATTCAAAAGGTGGTATTCCTTGTTGGCTATAAAGAGTGCAGAGCTCCTGAAGCATACAAACTAGTCTTTTTTGTTTTGTTTTGTTTTTCTAAATCACAGAATTGACCCCTGAAGAGAGAGCCCAAAAGATTGCCAAAGCCATGCGCAAACAGTCTTCTGAAGTCAAAGAGAAATGGGAAAGTCTCAATGCGGTTACGAACAATTGGCAGAAGCAAGTCGACAAGGCGCTGGAGAAGCTCCGCGACCTGCAGGGAGCTATGGATGACCTGGACGCAGACCTGAAGGAGGCGGAGGCAGTGCGGAATGGCTGGAAGCCCGTGGGAGACTTGCTCATTGACTCGCTCCAGGAGCACATTGAGAAAACCATGGTTAGCATCACCCCCTTCGAGAAAGGACTTCAGCCAAGGTTTTATTCTTATGTACATCACAAATCACGAAAGCCAGGAAATCTCCACATTGTAGTAGGAGATTGTTATAAAGCTAGTGTCTTTGCAACTCCTTCCAACACAGGAGGTAGAACATTCCCTGGCACAAAAGAGGCTTCCATACTCTCCCAATATAATCACCTAGGTGATGTTTACAATCGTTTCCTTCCCTTTTTCTTATACCTGTATTCACCCAACCATGCATCCCTAAGAATTGTAATAGACCTGCTTTTTAAACACATTTAAAAGTTCCCTTTAATCTCCAAACCACCCCTCTCCCTTCTTCATTTCCTTGCCTGTTTTATAAATGCTGTAGCCCACACGACTGATAAGTTGTAGAGTTGGCATGATTTTTTCCCCCCATGCTTTTTTTCATCACGAAGACCTCTTTCCTATGAATGTAATTAAACATAGCCTTGATGAACTACTTATGTTCAGTTTGAAAAGTGATGTTTTGTGGTTTTATTGCTGAAAGAATACTGATTTCTGCCCCCTTTCAATGTGAATATGCATGAGTTAAGTTTCCAACTACATTATGAATTTAGTAGGATTTTCCTTACAGCAATAATGACTTAAAAACTATTTCCATGGATGGATCTGGGTTTAAACTTACCAACTGGAAACAAAATCTTTCAGCACAGCTTCTTTGGAAGTTATGTTTCTTCCATTTTGTAATAAATGGTTTGCAAACTGAAAAAATTTAAATCAGTGGTTTATAAAAAGTTGACTATTGAAATTCCACAGTGCCTTGAGTTAGAGCAGACATTTGCCCATTTGAAGAAGAAGTTCTCCATTTAGAGTAGAGGATAAAAGTGTTGTATCTAGGATTATTAAAGGCTTACATTTGGGAGTTGTTAATCCCCTTTGATTAAAGGAATTGCATGCCTCTTCTTTCAATTGAGAAATACCTTTTGTTCAGATACCTGCTTAAGTGGAAAGCTAGGAAAAACACAGTTAATAGTTTAAGAGGAAAGAATAAACTGTGGATTAAAGTATTTTAAGATTTTATTAGGAAAAAAAGAAAACAATAGCACAAGTCTCTGTAATTTAAATAAAATGGATCCAAAGTTGAACGTGTTTTATTTGTGCTTTAAAGTATACCTTGAATTCCACTGAAGATACTTAAACAAGCAAGCCACAGAAACCAACCAAGCTCATTGCCCCTGAGCTGCTTCCAGCTCAAGCTAACCCCCGTGTGTCCATAGAGTAGAACTGCTCTGTCGGTTTGCTGGGCCATCGTCTGGTGGAAGCAGGTCACCAGACCTTTCTTCACAGTGCACAGTGGCCCACAGTGGAGTTCATACCAACAACCACAAGCACAAGCTCAGGACCTTAACTTATATATTTTGTTCCTTAAAAGTATAAGCAGGTGAAAAGGCATTGGATGTTGTCAAGTAGTCATAAGCAAGTCAGAGCAACTAGCAAGCAAAAGCCTTGGGGTAATTAGGCAATCCTGAGTCACTCTTATTTGCAGAATAGATATCTTCAGGCAGGAGAGGGTTGAGGAGCTGCCTCTGCCAACAGGCAGCCAATCAACAGCTTTGCTGCTGGCAGATGCCTCTGGTTTTCTTGTGTA